GAGATGATGGGGCTGTGGAGGGGAATATGAAGATGATGGGGCTGTGGAGGGGAATATGGAGATGATGGACCTGTGGAGGGCAATATGGCGATGATGGGGCTGTGGAGGGGAATATGGCTAATGATGGGGCTGTGGAGGGGGATGTAGTTTGGTGCTGGGAAAGAGAATAAAATGAGAAAATGTATTACCTCATTTAGAGACCCACTGCCCATACTGGAATGTAATTCACTCCCAGACCCACTGCCCACACTGGAATGGAATTCACTCACAGACCTACTGCCCACACTGGAATGGAATTCACTCACAGACCTACTGCCCACACTGGAATGGAATCACTCACAGACCCACTGCCCACACTGGAATGTACTAACTCACCCACAGCCCCACTGCCCACACTGGAATGTACTAACTCACCCACAGCCCCACTGCCCACACTGGAAGAGCTCTCGCTACTTACAGACTCTTTGGTTTGCCGTAGCACTAACTCTACAACCATCACCTACATGTTAGCATCTATTGACTAAGCGTAACTGTCCTTTTGCGTTGTGTTGCTTTGTTTACACATTATATCTCTGTGGCCTATTTACGTCAATGTTACTTCCTATTACTAAGTCATTTTAACCTTGACATTCTCACATACCTATACTTAACACCCATATTATTTGGTGAATAATACCGATGTATATAATTTATCTGCTTACTATGACAACTGTATATATATATATATATAACGGTCATCAGCAATATCCTGGATATTCATTGTCATTTGCCCTCGTTAACTGCATCTTTTATTTGAAGCTTTTCTGAAATATCTTTATTGTACGGCTACAAACATCTCAAACCCCAGTTACATAAAAACATTTGTTCCTTTATATTAGTTTATGTGCAATCTGAAGACTGCGATTGTTCTTACGACCACTTCTCCCCTCCCTTACTAATTACAGGTGCATGTTTCTCTAACACATACTAATGTGGACCATACAGTTGTCACCATATAGAATTAATTTAAACTACTTCCCCTTCAAAACGATAATGGTGAAAGAACACCGTGCATCATTTTTTCAGTGAAACTGCCATGTTTTTTGTTTGTTTCTGATGTATGTTATGATTATACTCACCCCTTGACTCTTATCTTCCTTTCTCAATATTTGGGGGCAGCCATTTCATTCTTGGCCCATGATGCTTGCTGTTTGCCCTCCTGTGGGACTGATTTTACTGATGGATTAAGGGTACATTTGATTGGCAACTGAAACAGAACCTTGCTTTATGCTCTGCCAATTACCATGTTTTGTCAACTTGAATGCTAGTTTGCTTAGGAAAAAAAGAGAGAGATTAAAGGGGGGGAGCTAAATATCAATAAGGGGGGGAGACCTATTGTCCTCCCCCTAGCCACCACCCCTGAGCGGTGGGTGGGGGCCCTAAATTTAGAATAAGGGGGGGACCTATTGTCCTCCCCTCGGCCCCCACCCCTGAATGGTGGGTGGGGGCCCTAAATTTAGAATAAGGGGGGGACCTATTGTCCTCCCCCCCTGCCCCCACCCCTGAGCAGTGGGTGGGTGCCCTAAATATAGAATAAGGGGGGGGAGAATTGTCCTCCCCCCTGGCCCCCACACCTGGGCAGTGGGTGGGGGCCCTGCCCATTCACCTCCGCCCCCCCAAAAATAACCCCTACCTACTCCCCTCATCCTAAAAATAATGAGGGGGACAATTATCTAGATACCTGTAAAAAAATAAATAAATAAACTTTACGTTTGATGTCTTTTTTTCTTCTAAAATCTTTTTTTCAGCCCCAAAAAGGCCAAATAAAAATCCATAATAACCGACGCACAAAAAAAAGAGCGCAAAAAATAATAATCCTTTTTCACCCGTGGAGGGCTTTGCGCAGACTGAGCTCTGCAGGGCGGGAGAAGGCTTATAAAGCCTTGCCCCGCCGTGCAATTAGGCTCGGAGCACTCTGATTGGTGGGTTTAAGCCATCCAATCAGAGTGCTCTGACAGGTAAATGACGAGACTGACAGGTAAGTCTCTACATTTACCTGTCACAGCACTCTGATTGGTTAGCTTGAAATCCACCAATCAGAGTGCTCTGTGTTGTTTTACACAGCGTGGGAAAGTTCTTTGGAATTTTCCCACGCTGTGTAATTTGACTCATAACACTCTGATTGGTGGATTGAAAGTAATCAACTCTGCAACTCGGTATGTGAGAGGAGGAGACTGTCTGTAACTGTGTGTGAGAGAGACTGTCTGTAACTGTATGAGAGGGAGACTGTCTGTAACTGTGTGTGAGAGGGACTGTCTGTAAGTGTGTGAGAGAGAGACTGTCTGTAACTGTGTGAGAGAGAGACTGTCTGTAACTCTGTGTGAGAGAGAATGTCTGTAACTCTGTGTGTGAGACAGAGACTGTCTGTAACTCTGTGTGTGAGAGGGAGACTGTCTGTAACTCTGTGTATGAGAGACTGTCTGTAACTCTGTGTGTGAGAGAGAGACTGTCTGTAACTCTGTGTGTGAGAGGGAGGCTGTCTGTAACTCTGTGTGTGAGAGACTGTAACTCTGTGTGTGAGAGGGAGAGTGTCTGTAACTCTGTGTGTGTGAGAGAGACTGTCTGTAACTCTGTGTGTGTGAGGGAGACTGTCTGTAACTCTGTGTGTGAGAGAGAGACTGTAACTATGTGTGTGAGAGAGAGCTGTCTGTTACTGTGTGTATGAGATAAAGACTGTCTGTAACTGTGTGTGAGAGAGAGACTGTCTGCAACTCTGTGTGTGAGAGGAAGACTGTCTGTAACTCTGTGTGTGAGAGAGACTGACTGTAACTCTGTGTGTGAGAGAGAGAGACTGTAACTCTGTGTGTGTGAGAGAGACTGCAACACTGTGTGTGAGAGAGACTGACTGTAACTCTGTGTGTGAGAGAGAGAGACTGTAACTCTGTGTGTGAGAGAGAGACTGTCTGCAACTCTGTGTGTGACAGGGAGACTGTCTGCAACTCTGTATGTGAGAGGAGGAGACTGTCTGTAACTGTGTGTGAGAGAGACTGTCTATAACTCTTTGTGAGAGAGAGACTGTCTGTAACTGTGTGACAGACTGTAACTGTGTGTGAGAGGGAGACTGTCAGTAACTGTGTGAGAGAGGGAGAATCTGTAACTGTATGTGTGAGACGGTCTGCATCTCTGTGTGTGAGATTGTCTAACTGTGTTTGTCTGTCACTGTGTCTGTATGTACGTGTGTGTGTATGAGACTACATATAACTGTTTGTGTGTGACTGTAATTGGGTTTGTATCTGTTCCAGTGTTTAAGAGAAAGAGAGAGAGACTGCATATAACGGTGTGTGACTCTTTGCATGTAGCGGTGTGTACGACTGTCTGTCTGTGACTGCCTACCTGTAACTGTGTGTACAGGGAGTGCAGAATTATTAGGCAAGTTGTATTTTTGAGGATTAATTTTATTATTGAACAACAACCATCTTCTCAATGAACCCAAAAAACTCATTAATATCAAAGCTGAATATTTTTGGAAGTAGTTTTTAGTTTGTTTTTAGTTTTAGCTATGTTAGGGGATATCTGTGTGTGCAGGTGACTATTACTGTGCATAATTATTAGGCAACTTAACAAAAAACAAATATATATACCCATTTCAATTATTTATTATTACCAGTGAAACCAATATAACATCTCAACATTCACAAATATACATTTCTGACATTCAAAAACAAAACAAAAACAAATCAGTGACCAATATAGCCACCTTTCTTTGCAAGGACACTCAAAAGCCTGCCATCCATGGATTCTGTCAGTGTTT